GCCAGTTGTGACACAGAATAGCTCAAATCAGAGCGGCTTGAAAGATGCGCGACCGGCGTTTCTGGCGTGCCCGGGACGAATAACGACCGAGAAGAAAGAACGTAGCTTTGAAGGCAAGGCCCAGGATAAGACCACTGGAGTAAGACCATTCTGCAGTTAGAGCTTTGTGAACGTCACCGATGCACCATTGACACAGCTCAAAAGATCGTGACAAGGCGCAACGATCCTATCAATTCCTCCGGTTACCGGCGGTTGCCGATTGTTTTTGGTACGGCCCCTACAGCCGCTTGTGCCCTCTCGCGTATTCCGTCTTTTCTGATCGCTCTTTCTCTCAGTCGTACCACATCCGACGACACAGAAAGTTTGGAACCTTAGTTTTATCTCCTTTCTTTCCCACTTTTAGCTCACTACGTCCCTCTTACCCCATTATTTAGCGCCCTTACACAGTAGTCCTGGGTTTGCTTTTGAAGGATTTCACATTTGAAGGAGGGCAAAAGTCGTAGAAGGGGAAACTTACCTAGTGGAAAGACGGGCGGCCTCCTAAGGATGTGGACCTACAATTCGCATCGAAAGATATATCCCCGGCGACTTTGGGGCACCATCGGCGCGGACCCCCTCGCTGTCTGAGCCTCTAGCCGTTTAGCAGAGAGAGCGTTAGCGTTGAAGAGGGCAGCACCGATGAGAGTCGCATCAATGCGCAAATCAACGGGCAAGGAAGGGTCCCATTTCTCGGGTTCTGGGCCGTTTTCTGGTTTTTCTTCTTTCGTGCATCACTGACCATCTCTAACTTAATTTCCAATGGGTTGCCTTTTCATCGTAAATTCCGCCTTTAAAACAAGGTAATCAGACTCGAATAATTTCTCAGGAGTAAGCCGCGCACTCAATTTCCATCCATTGTTCAAATACGTAGATGTGAACTGCTTAATTCCGTTCAAAAGCCATAATTTCAGGTCGAAAAGTCGCACAACATCACCCCGCCCAAGCAGGTCGCTAAGGACACCATCATGAACGCCTGAGAACCCTGACGACTGTTGGATTATGAACAATCAATCAATGGGGAACTTTCCACTCTAACGTCCTGTGAAAGAATCATTTCCGCGTTATTATGTAATCGCTAGAATATTGGTGATCATTTTCAAAATTGGGTTACTTAATCGTGATTGGTTTCGCCTAATAATTATTCATTATGTTACTATTAAACGGTTCACTATCGATTTTTTCTTATAAAATCACAGAGCATAATATTTACATAACTGAAGACGTATGAAGACCAGTGAACAAAGACAACAACATGGCAATATAACAGCTATGACAAAATAAACACTTAAACAGGCTCAACATGATACTCATCTCTCCCCCCCATATACTCTCTCTGTGTCAAAGTTCAAAACCAGCAAAAACCGCTGGGTACCGACAGGAGGCCCGTCGCACGGCCAGGAGACGGATGTCAAACTTTGCGAAACGAACGGCTCGCTAGCGAATCGCTCAAGTCGCAAAGTCTGGCAATACGACTGAAGCAGAGTCAAGCGGGGACGAGTCAATAACTCGTGTGTTGCGAGGTGAGGACATACATAATACACATACATACATATTTAAATTGACACCAAATCACTACAATACGCGCTGCGACTCGTCCGCTGACTCGGCCTTCTTGTCGCGCGACGGGCCCGGTCGAGCACCCAAAACCGCGCATATATAGAAAATAGCGTCATTGACCAGTTGCCAATGTTGAAGAATCTCAAGTATATTATATTATTAGTAATAATTTCGGTGATTGACTAGGATGATAGCGAAGATAAAAATAGATAGTTCCTTGAAGGATATATATCACAGCAATGACTCAAAAAGGGCAAGTGTGAGCAAAGGAAACCACCTCATCGACAATCCGGTCAAGACTGAGACGATAGCGAAGATGGTACATAGCAGGAACAGACTCTTGATGCATATGTTTTACGATGTGGAGGAAGCAACAGGAGTACGGTAACTGTGTGGGCCTTGTAAGTAAGGTGCCCAAGCGCAAATTTTGAGGCCACTCACGTAGGAGCGCGATGGGCATCGATCTGGTACCACATGTTCCCGTACTGGTGCTAACATTACCTTTACCGGCGAGGCAGACGTCAGACTTTGCGAATAGAGCGATTCACTATCGTCCACGGTCGTGTCGCATACAGCGAATGGCTCGATTAGCTGTACGCGACGCGAACGCGAACGCTAGCAATCGCTTCGCAAAGTATATGACATCGGCCTAAGGCAAGCAGACATTTTGCGCACCAGTGAGGTCCATGGGCGGTCTAAGGCAACACCGCCCACGCACCCAGCGTACTCTCCGTTCAAGGGACCGCTTCAATTCTGCCTTGCCAAAAATAGCGCTACAATACTTTCATGGTAATAAAAGTGAACTGAGATCTCAGATGAAGTGTTACAATTCTGAGAATTAAATGTATTGAGGTGTGTCCTGACCAGTAAGCAGACGGAACATACTCGTCGGCAATTGTCTTCAATATGAATTACGCGATAGGCCGTCGCCGCATGGTTCATATACGCATCCGTGTGCGGCGACGTGACAGAACGGATGTTGTTTCAAGAATTCGATGTGCCGACGAGAATTCCGCCCCGCCTACAGCGATTCCCTAAACGGAGAATTTTACAGTAAAAAAAATGGGCGTATGCAAGATTACGGGGCGAGTGGGAATTAAACCGCGTAACTAATCTCTTTATTTGTGGAAATCGGTAGGCCTTGGGTAGGAGGTAGGGAATTCATGAGTGCGCGAGTTTTCCATAAAATTACGTCTCTCCTCTAGGCATGGTCCTGGAGGATGCCCCCGTATCTTGCGATTGCGAAAAAATTGGTCAGATGAAACTAACAAATGATCACCAACCTCGCAATAAAGAACAGATGACACCATTTTGGACTGAGAACCAAGTTGGTACTTGGTATCAGGTCGCCGTATTCTCACTTCAACAACGGGTGGTGTGGACACAACTGTCAACCGTACCGCGGTAGCGGTTCTGAATTTGCGCAAATACTTTTTTTCACAACTTATAATTACCCCTGTAAGAGTGCGACTCACTTCACGTTCTTGATATTGCTCTGAGCAGCTGACAAAGGAAGACCCACTAGGGAGATTCCATTGATGTTGATAATCTGATCACCGATATTCAATTGATTTGAGAGCGCGCGCAGCTGGTCCAGCTGGGTTCATGTGGGCGAGCACCACAGTCGGGTACATCGATCCCCATCCGGATTCCACCTATGAACACCAAGCAATTTTCCTTCTAATGTGCTCACCACAAAATCGCCTGTACGAACCACGACAATTCCAAGTGGTTCTCCACTCTTTTTCGGAACAACTACATCCTTTTGAGTTTACTTTCGTGCAAACATCTCAGCTCACACTAGGAGTTTTGCGGTCTTAGCACCCCATAGACACAACAGATATTATGTGTGACAAATATTGGCCCAAAAACAGAAAGCAAATGCGCTGCCAACTCGCCTGATGCTAGGTCGTTGGCAACTGAGATACGACGGATCGTCATACGATTCGCCCGCAACAAACTCAAACTATGCGACCGGATATCGGTAATTTTCGCAATGATAAAAAAGCAAAATTTCATGAAAAACATACCTGAAAGGCCTGACCAATAGACTGCGCAATGAACGATGCCTCATCAGACTCAAACACATGGCAGATCACTTTTGGCGTCTTCTTGATTCCTTCCACTCTGGAAAATCGAAGATAAGAAGAGACCAGCAAGCATTTAGTTCAAATAATACGCACAAGAACAACGTGAGATACTTCTAAAACGCCAGAGCGTTCTGGAGGACCCCTTTTAAAATTCGAAAGTGTTTCTAGGAACACTGCAGCTCAAGTAGTTGTGCGAAAGTAATTACAATTTTTTTTGTAATCCTCGGCACACTTTGAATCACGAGTGGCTACGGCCGCAATGAGAGGCCTGCCTGTCTTTAGTGAGCGCTGTTGCGGCTAATCAATGAGTGAATGAAACCCTATCTTCTTAACTAGATAAGACACAACTTCAAGAACTTTCCAGTAACTCTCCATTAAAGGCAGCGATTACGATAGGTTCAAGAAGGTTTAGAGGAGACGTGGTGGTGCTCAATGGTACGTCGGTGGCGAAAAAAGCGGAGAAATCCGTCAAAAAACGCAAAATGGGACCCCTTTTTTGGCCGTTGGTTTTCACTCATGAACAGGTAACAGCTCAGAAAGCGGACGTATGAACGAGTTCACCGCAACGCGTTTGGTGGCACCATGCCAAACCACGCTCCAATCGAGTTGCTCCAGTTGTGCCGCTGCTGGCAACGCAGCTCGTCCAAATCACCAACTAAACTAGTGGGCGGATCGCTTTTGGGGGCGGAGTGCTTTCGAAGTCCTGCTCAGCAACCAGCGCACCTTTCGTCGTGAAAGCGCACACCTCGCTTCCCTGGCAGCCAAGTAACTGATTCGTGTGGTGCATATGCTTCCCCGATGCGCTCCCACTTTATCGTAATCGCTGCCTTTAACAAAGTACCGCAAATGTTTACGATGAGAAGCATTTGAAAGATGAACCACTAACTGGTTGCATTGCTCGTCACTGCTGCTAGCTGACATTCTTCTTGCCATCAGCACAACCAAATCTCCAATGTCGGCGATGTAGGAAATCGTTCGCAAAGCGTGATCCATCAAAATGTCCTGCAATAAAAAAACTCTAGGCCGCAGCGTCTGAGTTCTTGCAGAAGTGAGATCAACTCCAAAAAAAGCACTGCGCTCAGCTCTGAAATGTAAAAGTCTCGGAATCTCAGCATCACAGTTTTTCATCTCAATCGATAGAACCAACCTGTGATTCTCTGTTTTCATCCAGATCTGTTTACAACACTCATGAAAACGGTATAGTTTAAAAATAAACATCGATTTTTATTCGCAAGTTCGCATTTCGATGACTTGTGCTCCAGCGATAAGTTTTTTTTAGGATTCACTGCTATGCCCATCAGAAGCTGGTCAGTCTGTGACCCGTTCAAGATGGAGTCAAAGAAGAGGGAAATGTGGAGACTTTACTTTTCTCCGAACTTACTTCTATATACAAATTGTTGCAGTCTCATCCTGAGAATGGAAGAAAAGGTCGCACGCTTTCATACCTACCCGCGTGAGTAGAGGTATCGATTCATTATGAGAGCGCAAATCGTCTGCAAAGGGATGGACACACCAAAAAACCACTTACGGGGTTAACATGATGCACTGATTTTATTACTTATTATCTCTATTCTTCTCGATCAGGTTCGGGACCAAACCCCCCCCCCCCCGATAACTGCTTAATGAATCACTATTCAAAACAGAGGAGTCACTAGAGCCCTCTCAGTGGCGGTTTTGAGCGTGAACGTTCAACTGATCGCGACGGTGTGCCTCTCTGGCATGGTAGTCCATACTCCATGATCCACAGAGACGGTCACTGGTGTGATATGAAATTTGGAGTACGCGATTAACAGTAAATAAGCAGCGGCTGTAACAGGTTATAGGGTCTAATAGAGGTTAAGCATGCACGAGGAACAAGGAAGGAACAATCAAAAACAATAAAAAGGGTCCCCAGCATGCGGAAGGGAAAAAAAGCAAGTGGTCAAAATATGCAAGAAAATGCCAAGAATAGTGGCGGCATCACAGAATTTGGCGAATCGACTTAAGACTGTGATCTAACTAAAACATGGTTGTTAAAAGCATGTCACAAGAAGATTTCACGCTGCGTAACCTATGGTGAAGCTAGCAAATGACAATTCTATTAAAGGAAAGATTGGGAATGCAAAAGAAAAGGTAGAAGTCCCCAGCGTCGTTCTATTGTACTTTGGAGCTAGCGCTACTAAGGTCAGACTTATTTGAGATTTGCATATAACGATTCGTATCAATATTACTTCTCAGATTGACTTTATCATTTAGTTGATCTCGAGCGCTTACAGGAGAAATACAAAATACTAATGCAGCGAGAAATATGAAAGCGCGCTGCAAATAGAAAGAGCAATCCTACTCCACATTTACATATCTCATCCTATGAATAAAATATTCAGAAGACGCGAACACATCCCTCAGTAGCGTCTTCTGAAATGTTGTGCGTAAATCACACTCACAGGTGAGCTTGCATTTTCAAAACGAGCAAATCCTTCAACTAACAATGAAAGTCTCAGGGTGTAGAGCGCTTTTTCGAAACACTTTTTTTGTGTTACAGAGACGGTCATAGGACTTTAAAGACGAGGATTATTGCTCTAACGGTTCTCGAAAGGATGCAAAAAAAATGTGGAAAACAGGTTTTTGTTCAATCCTTTTGAATTTCGCGATTTCCTTCTTGGGATCATAAGATTTCTGAGTTTATTCAGTGATGAAAGTTCATGTGCAAATCCAAGCTATTCGAATGTTGGGGGGAATTTTACTAAAATGTAAACGTCCACTTCTTGAGGAACTTTTCTTGTTTTCTTTTCTGCGATCGCAGGGCCGTTCAGGAAATTTCACAGATTACCCACGCACATACCGCTACAACATGCAACAATCCGTTTCGAATAAGAGTCCAAGTGCTAAAAACTTTCCTGGTGATAAAAAGGCTTTTCGGCGGCTATCGCAAGATAAGGGGTATCCTGTAGGACCAAACTCAAGACGGGCAGGAGCTTCGGGAAACGAAGCATGGCAAGCTGAAGTTTTTCTTCACCACCTAAAGATTAGTCCCAGCGGACCCTGCGACCGCGCTGGACTAACGCTAGGGAGAAGAAGAAGACCTGAAGATTATTCCCGTTTCTAACTCAACCGGATTGTTTTAGGTGGTTTGAAATGCATTTGCCACACATGGCGCTGTATTCTTTGTGACAATGCCCTTTATCTTGCGATAGCGCCCCCTCTCAATTCATCTTCGAACCATTCCGCAAGGAAAGCAATAATTTTCAAATATTGAAAACTTCTAAAACAATGCACACACTTCACACAACACAACAACTAGCACTCACCTGCCGAACATCAGTATCCGAGATTCTCTGAAATAATGACACGTTGGACTTAAGACGACAAAGGAACAGAAAACGGTGAGCCACATGATTTTAACACACAAACAACTTGACCAGAGTTGAATATGATTGTTTACGAAATAATGATAAACCAGGAACAAATTACACACACAACTTAAATATTTCTCATAAGCGTTAAAATTGCGTGAAAATCCTTCACAAGTGAGCAAAGACATACTGCGCCATGTTCACGACTACTTATCCATACACATGTTGAATAAGAAATCATAAACATGACGCGGCATAGATTTTATACCTGCTTCAATGTCTAAATGCTCGATATTGAGTAGCTGTGCAGAAGTTTACTTTCCCCAAACTATCAGGTCTTTTGTTTTATTTATTCAAAACAAGATTACATCCTTTCATATGTCGTTGCATGTTTCATTTTTCCGAGGAAGGTACCCGACAGGAGGCCCGTCGCGCGGCAAGAAGGCAGAGTCAGCGGACGAGTCGCAGCGCGTACTGTAGGGATTTCGCGTCAAGTTAAATAGAATGTACCATTGTACGTCCTACATCGCACACACGCTGCGACTCGTCCGCGACTCTGCCTTCTTGCCGCGCGACGGGCCTCCTGTGGGTACCCTCCGAGGAATGACACATATGCTAATTTACACTTGGCGGCTATTTGATCACATTCACCTTTACGGATTATTATTCGAATTTTATCTCCAACCACCCGCTGTCTTCTTTCTCAAAAACTTCCTTACTTTCAGATCCATTTTTTACTGCTTGCGCCGATATGTCCGGCGGTTTGGTGTTTTGCGACCAAGCATTGATTACGCGATCGAGAGGAGCTATAGCTCGGGTCATCGCATTATTCTTCCTTGTGCGATTTTTAACACCTCAACTTCCTCATTGTTAAAATTTCATAACCATGAAGAAGTGAGGGTTACACACAGGTCTCATGAAAACGGCGTTAGAACCATACCGGGACTCCTCTAAATGGCCAAGAAGCCATGGCTTTCGGGCCCTTTCTTTGCATCTCTACTGGATATCTCCTACCAAATAACGCTTCGTTCAAGGTAGATGAAACTGGTGCACTATGAAACGGAATGCCCGCCGTTGATAAAGGTTCATAACGGAATGGTCTTGGTAGCGGTCCTTGAAAAATCTGTTTCTTTGGCCTACAGGTTATTGATTTGTTTGTCAAATACTTCATAAAAACGTTCATTGCCTATATCGTAAGAAGTTCCATTAAATCCCAATGGAAAGCATTTTAAATCCCATTCAGAAAACACCATCCGCTGTAAAACTAGCAATCAACTGGGTGGCGCAGAAAATGCACAAGTCAGACGGGCAATGTTTATGAGCATGGGCTTTTAATGAGTTCCAAAACTCAACTTTCTATCGAACGCGGTGCTGGTCGCAGTCAACTATTCAGCCAGACTTTGAGCCGAAAGAGTAACGAGCAGTGACATGAGGGAGCCAATGACGAACATGACGTGGTTTTCCTTGAAACCGCTAGTGAAGACGCTCTGTTTATTCAACGCCATACTGTCACAGTTCGCTTTACTGTGAAAGCACTTGAGATTCACGACAAAAAAAAACTAGAGTGGGCAGATACTTTCATCCAGTGGAAAAATAGGCAACAGGGTCTTGCTAGAATTTCCCGAATCGATAGCCTTTTTGACTTTTCCGCTCGACCAAATCGTAGTTTTCACCACGGAAATTGTGGGGCCGGCCCATTTTCTATGATGGACGAATCAGAATGGACTCTTATACTGGATAGCCTGACGACCACGCTTCGGGCCAGTATTTTGAAGAAGCTGAGCTTTCTTCCAGGCTGCTGTAGTAAGCCATTCCGAATAAATCAGCACACGAGTGCTTGGCCATCCTAATATATACTCGATATCGGTGAGTTGGGGTAGGCGTGTCACCGGAAGTGACGTGCACTTGATAGAAACTATGTGGATAAGCTGCTTCCAACATACATCGCTGGATATCAGCAAAGCATGCTGGCAACAGCTTATCCACGCAACTTCTATCAAGTGCACGTCACTTCCGGTGACACACCCACCCCAACTTTCGGATATCGACTGTATCTCCTTTGACAAGTAGCATAACTTTCACACCAACAGCAGATACATGAAACTACGGTCACATAGCTCAACTCCTGCGAAGAGCACCCATGAGCGGCCTCAGCAACTGCATTCGGTACGTAGATGGGAAAGGGGGGGGAGGGGTGATCAATTGCTTCCAAAGCTAACAACTATTTTCTGCTTACTAGACATCAAAACGATGTCAGCTCACCATAAGTCAATTTAACCATCTGTGGTGAGCTCCAGCCATGAGCTGTGGGCAATGGGTACCCGTCATATTGCTTGTATCAGAGACTACGGTAGTACCATAAATAAGATATCTTGTTGTGAGATCTCAGAACAGGGTGGAATTATTTACGGAGCACTACCTTTTCTTAATAAGATATTCAATAAGGATATGCTACATTTATCTATTAGTTTATTTCGTAGAAGAGCCATTAAAATAAATAATTAATGGGAGACTCAATGAAATAACATCAGAACATATTTGATTAATTGATCTGCCTGCTTCTTTATGGCTGCCAGAATGTACCATCCTACCTTTATACAATAATTGTACTATGCTTTGATGATTTCTCTCACTCTCGTGTTGTTTTTCCTAAAGCAATATGCTTGTGCAATCTACTTTGATTATGAATCTCACGCAGCTATTCTGCGTCTATGAATAAATAAATAAACAAATAAAGATTTGCAGACGTCACTTTATGTACAAGCCAGCTTCTTCACCCTCCAACACCAATATATCACTGAATTCGAAGGGAATGAATGCTAAACGTTGTCGTTTGGGCTAGAAAGGAGATTTCACTTCACAGTCGACAACTGGGGGCGCCCACCAAGATAACCTCATTCCTACTTTTCAGTACTGGTGGACACAAAAAGTAAGTCTTATAGGAGCAAAGAGAAATTCAAAATAGTGCTGCTCTACTAAAATTCATTAAATGAGAACCAGATGGTTACTGAAGCGGACCCCTGCCTACAAGCGGGACAGACGCTGAAGAATAAGTAGTAGAAAAAGAAGAACCAGATCGTTCCTAGGCTTCGTTCCGACATACAATGAAAATGTACAAACCTGTAGATCAGTATTGAGAACCATGATCTTCTCAGTTGAAATAAACAAATCAATCTCCGTGCTGGGTTGTATCTCTCCTTCCGGAGCCTGGAACATTACAATGGTATAAAAATGATATGGTAGCATTCTGAAGAAGCCGTACCTTCACTCTCGCCACGGCTTCTTGAGCTTGTGCCATCCTCGCTGCCTTGCTGCCACGACTTTCGCACATCATTTGGGTGGAACCAAGATAACGCGCACGGAACAGGACTCCCTCGATCAGAACTGCAGGTTCATGAACCATAGCTGAAATGTCACAAACAATTCGCATGTGAAGCCTATTTCGGGACTCAACTCATAACCGAGGAAACAATATATGCCACAATCCAAAAATGCCTAAAACTATTTTGCAAACCATATAAAGCTACCAAAGAAGAATTGGGGATGGCTTTAGAAACACAAAATGATGGGCAAGTCACACGAGCAAAGCAGCATTTCCGGGGGAGAATGGGCACACTGATTTCAGCCTCATTCCAGATTGACTGAGACCCATGGGAAGATGATAAACCATGCAAGCCGAAGAAAACCACAAAACTTTAAGCGCGAATGCAGGCGTGATAATCGAACATAGCGAGCTCGACTTCGAGTGCAAGCATTTCACTCACCTATTTGATCTATTCGTAGCAGAGGCAAGTGAGTGACACAGAGCAGTGCATGGTGAAAAAATAAGCTTTTTAACAAATATTCTTTACAAGCTTCCCTATGTTTGTTAAATAACACTTGCACACACGAAAAAAATTACGCGCCACATCAAAACTTGCTTCAAGGGCTCAAAGAAACGCCTACATGGGACTTTAAATTATCTCGAACTAAGGAATACTTACTCTCTTTGCTGTTCTTCTTCTTTCCATGGCCTGTGGAGGATGGAGGGGGCTGCGAGCCAGCAGTCGATCCACCATGGAGGAGCCGGTCGGTCTCCATCTCATCGCCGTCCACAGGCGTTTCCGCTGCCGTTGATGATGCACAAGCTGCTGCATTTGCATCACCGTTCCATTCCTGGGAATGCTCCTGAAAAAGAGGCATTGCTGGATAACGACCAGTGACCAGAACGAAGAGTTAATGAAGGAATAATTATGCGTACTTCCTCTTTCATTTCACGCTGCATTCGTTTCAAATACGAATCACGTAGTACCCAAACAGGTTCTTCCGTGCTTCCGTTCTCTTTATTCTCTTCAGGCCAATCAGAAGAAGACGGTTGAGCGGACTGAAACAGAAGCTCTTCTTCCAGAAAAAATGCCCTGTCGTCAAATCTATGGCGCTAGAGCAATATAAATTCTGAAGACGGACTTTGTGACCAACCTGACTGATACGTCGATGAACTGGTCTGGCTGGTGGTGGCGGAGGGGCAATAGTTCCACCAGATGGTGCATTTGCCTGCGGGCTCGGACATTGTTGAATTCGCTGTCACATCAGTGACAGATTCTATATTCGAGGACGGCGGTTCCACATGGTTTGGTCGATGTTCTTGCGGGAGAAACGCAGCGGCCAGCTGCTAGAATGAAGAAGAGTCACCTATCGTGTATCTTGCGTTTTCCCTTCAACAATGAACAAACTTCTCACTATTCCTCTCCACTAGCGGAGCTCCTATTGTGAAGTGAGATTCCTACCAAGGATCCATCTATACCCAACTCACCTCTTGTGTAACATTGTGACCCTCTGTTGTGGAACTGCGCAGCAGCGAACGGCATTTGTGCAGCCGCGAACGGGCCAATCATTGGTTGTCCACATGGGAATGGCTGACCCATAGGAAATGGCTGAGTCATGGCACCCACAACGGGCTGATTGTGCAGTGGTGAAGTCATGCCATGAGGCATGGCAGCCATCTGAATATTGTGATGATTAAACGAATAAAATACGATGTGATTCATGATGATGAGTATTAGTAATTAGAAATATTAGTAAATACTAAATAATAAAAGTAATAAACCATAAATATTCGTGATTATTTCACCATGAAAATCACATAGTATTCAAGCTACGCTCAACAGAAACATTCACCGCTGGACAGAAAAACTCACATGTTGCGGTACAAAGGGAACTGAATTTGTCCCAGCGTATTGCATCTGAACTGGAAGCTGAGAAGGTGTGGAGCCGGACTCCGGAAGATTAAATGACGATCGCAGCTGGTTGAGCGTCTCCTTCGGTGCAGCTTTACACTCGTTGGCAGCCGGCGTGTAAGGAAGTGCACTCTGAACGGTACTACTTGTAAAGAGTTAGCGATTATTGATTCTACTACTTCGCATCCAACAAAGGTTCATCACAGCAAATACTACACCACAGCGACACTGAGGAACTCTCAAACTTCCTTCTTAATTGCATGACACACAACACACTTCGGATAATCGCTAGTACCATGCAAAAGCCGCTAAATATGGAGCGGCCTCGACCTTAATGACCAATTGCAATAGTTACCTAATTAAAAATTCGGATTTCAATGATGGGCGTCAGCAGTCAAACTTCGTGCAAATTCGGTAACACCTTTAGCCTACTGAGAACAAAGGGGTTTATTTTCCTTCATCTGAACACTTACCCCTAAAACTACTAAAAGAGAAAAAAAACACGCATAAAAAAGGTTGGACATCAGGTAGGCGACGAGCAGAATGGGGTAGAACGGCTGGACAGTCCAGCTGGCACAATCACAACATGCTAGCGAACGTCATGAGCATCACACCACGACCATAGACAGACCTGTGAATCAGTGGAGCCCGAAGTGAAGTTAGGTGGGAATGTAGCGTGTTCGTTCAATGCGGACATAGAGGCCGCCGATGTGAGGCCAGCGGCAACGGCTGACGAGCCGAATAACTCTGCTAACTCGCGATCGTCTATCTAAATCCAACCAACGCACTTAGAATTTTTCACCATTTCAACTCAGAATCAACTCAATGGGTAACCCTGATCTTTCATTGTGATTCTGAAAATAAGTAAGCAAAATTCTCGCGCACAATCATGCAAATCAAAGGATTATACTCCGACAAAAAAAGAAATAGATTGCCCGACAATGGAGGTCCTTCAGGAATGGATGGTTTTCTGAATGTTGTAGAGGCTCATGTGAGGAACACAGAACCATGGTCCATTTTTCCTGAACGCCCCAGGAATGTCAAAACAGCGGGGAAGAAATGGTCCAAAGTTCGATCCTCCGTGATGACAAATTTTTGCAATTTATGTTGGCGCCTCCAAATTGCCGCAAAACACGACAATGACATCTATTCTCGACGATGGCGCCATTTGGCGGCAATCTGGGGCGCCAAACTATATTGCAAAAATTAGTCATCACCGGGGATCGAACTCTGGACCATTTCTTCACCACTGTTTTGACATTCCTGGAGGCGTTCAGGAAAAATGGATCATGGTTCTGTGTTCCTCGCATGAGCCCCTACAACATGCAGAAAACCATTTCGAAAAGCGCTCCATGTCCTGAAAGACCTCCCTTGTGTTATCAGCTTTGTTCTTTTCCTATGGAAAAGTTCATTTCTCGCATGATTTCCTTACCCAGAGCTGCAATTTAACCATGAGTTTTCCAGTGAACAGCGCTAAACATAAAGTCTGTTTGTGCAGTCATGCGCGCGGCTCCGGAAGAGGATAGGAAAGAGGAAAAACGCGGCATCCATAGAAGAGTTCCAAGAGAATAAGTGAAATCGATCAAACCCTCACATGACAAAAGAAGACCTGTGGGAAGAATCGACTCGCGATACTTTGAATCTTTAAATGCACTCACAAAGAACGACCATCCCGAAGATTCCTCGTTTCACCACAATCACAACAATTTTGAGGAAAGCTAATTATTGGCAAACCCAAGCTGCAAACTTGCAAAAGGACTAATCGAAAAAAAAACTAGATAGATATGTAACTACTAAAGCTGAAGAAGAACATAGGGGTCTACAATTGTAATGAAGGATAAAAAAAAGAGTAAAGCATTCGGGCTGATCAACCCCGTTTTGGGATGCGCCACGCATTCTACTTCCATTTGTACATTCGTAGTGGCAATTTGAATGCGATGTGGCCTATACAATGACTTGCGGGGCCAGCCGATGTACAAGTCAGTGTTTTCATTCCTC